TTAAATTTGATGTTATGAAAATTTGAGTTTTATTAAAGTTTATTTAATATTTTCCGCTTTATGCATGAGTATGACATGATATAGGTAACACCTCAAAATTAAAATCAATAAATTTTGGGGCATTACAACGCTCCAAAACAAAATACTTTTTGACAAAGACCAAAGATAGTGCAAAAACAGTGAAGGTTCTCAAACAAAAATTGACATAAAGAAAGATTTGAAAGATTTCGAATGGACTTTTGTAAAAAGAAATATTCTCATTAGGGATAATTTGGAGATTTCGCTCACAAGAATTTCTCTATATAAGGAAGTATTTTCATTTGGAGAAAGCATGAGCTTACAACCTGTGTAAACCTTGTTTTCAATCCTTTGAAAACTTTCCTTAAAGAAAAATTCTCAATCCAAAAACTATATAGCTGAATGAGAATTTGTACAAATTCGTGAAGGTATAAAAGTTTTTAAATTTTATTTTAAGTCTTTTAGGGACTTCCCGAAAGGGAATTCCTTAGTTATATTTCTTTAATATGTCTTTATAAATCCCAGCAAAAAAAAATTTGAATTTTGTAAAGATTTATTGTGTTTTAAATTATATAATTATGTTGCATAATGTTTCATTTCATCTTAAGCATATCATAAAAGCATAACTTAATTCTTAGAAGCCTTACTGTTTGTAGGTTAATACCTGAGTGACCTAGAAAAGTGAGAATATTAGGGTGAGGGTGCCCTTTCTTAACTTCTCTTGATAAAAATTGAACTTGGTTCTTGGCTTTGGTTTTGGTTCTGGAACTGGAACCAGAACCAAATTCATTATTTTTTTTGTAGGACCAAATTGAACCGCTCGATTAGGTTCAATTATAGTTTGGTTTGGTTTGGTTTAGTTTGGTCATTTTGTCCACCCCTAGATATATCTATTAGGAAAAAGCCATTTGTACACTTTTGTGTACATTAACTTTGACACTCCTCTCACAAAAGTGTGTGGAGCCCATAATTTTTTAAATTGCGAGCCCCCACCTTTGTGAGAGGAATGTCATGCATGATGTACACCAAAGAATGTAAATCAAGCATGACTCTATCTATTAACGGGTATCTTGTTCTGTCAAGTCTCTAGCTCCTAACGAAAGAACGTCCACAAAAGCTTGATAAGTTTCTGTATTTGGGTCCCATTGGGTAAGGTTCTTAAATTATGCATGTTTGTTTGGCAGACAAAAGAGCTTTAGCAAATGGCCAACCCAAACACAAAAAACTGGGATTTGCAATAAGCTTTTTTACATCATTAATTTCCAAAAACGTCCATGTGAATTGGAAGTGGACAGATACTCAGCAAAATATGATCCAGACACAAAATTGAGTTCGTATTATTATTATTATTATTAAAAATAAAAATTCCACAAGAATTTTCATAAAATGCCACAAAATATTAGATGCATTTCTATTTTTACATGCGGCTACAGCCTGCAAGTATTCAAGAACACGTCTCTCCATCTCTCCTTCTCCATAGTGGAAATCATTCGCAGAAGAAGTAACTTTGATCCTTTTGTAGTATTACTCATTTACAATTACCATAGCTTCTTGAAAATGACAGTTAGCATCCTTCCACCAGTTCAGCATGAACTCGTGGAATAATATCCTAGACTAGGGGTTGAGCCTTGGTAAGTGTAGTTTTTATACTTATTCAATGCTCTAAATTATGATATTTTATTGTCTTTTCAATAAAATTCTATCTAATTTATGTTAAATTGTATTTTGTAGGTAAAAATTTATGTTTAATGAAGAATTGAATAAAAGAATGCAAAATAGCGGAAAAATGGCGAAATCCAAAAATTGAAGACTTAGAAGAAAGCATTAAATTAATTTGGGTTTTAATTTGAAATGTCAATGGGCTTGGACTCCTTTGTTGAAAAGAACAAAAAAAGGGTTGTGAATTAATATATATATATTGACACATTCACGCAAATAAGGGAGGCAGCCATTTGAAAAAAAAAAAGAGCAAAAAGTGGCAGCTTCTTAAAGGATATACAAGTACACGCATTGGAGAAAGCGGCTGCAAGTCGGGCATAAAACATATACACACAGAGGAAAAGACAAAAGCCAATTGAGAAAAAGAAAGAGTCAACTAGTGGCTGGAATTTGGGGGGGGGGGGGGGGGGGGAATAGAAGCTGAATTGTGGGAAAAACTGGGGCTGAATTGATTAATATATATTATATATACACAAAACACGCGTGGCTGGCACCTATTCACGTAGCAGAGAAAAGAAATTGACTGGAGTTGGAGCAATAAATTGGAATTAATCACGTTTCGTCAATTTTTAGTGATGTCTTTCCACTTTTGCGTGTTTAAATTCGACGTTATGATTGGCTAGATATTTTTATTGTTAGGATTGATAATGTAGTTTAAGGTTTTTATTATATATATTAATTTCAAAGTTGTTATGCCATTTTAATACTTTTTAATTAATTATTGTGTGTTTAATGCTATTATTTGTTTGCGAAACAATTAATTGATTTAGAGATGATACTGAGACCGAGAGGTGATGTATAATT